GATAATTTGAATTATTTTGGTACAAATACAAAACCGTTATAATTTTACTGCCTAGTGTGAATCATCTAAGCCATCTTATCTTTTCTATTCTTTTTGCTATTTAAATAATTAAACATTGTTATTGTATACTGTTTTGTATATTTTGGTATGTAATATTGTAAATAAATCTATTTCTTCGTAAACTAACATAGCTTCATTGATTTTCAAAAGGTTTCGACGCATATAACAATAATACTTAGTACTAACCTCAAACAAAAAATCATTAGAAAATTTTATCCACTGGTTGAGCTATGGTCCTCAAAGAGTTAAATAGTGTAACATTACGAATATTCAATGATAAGTAATTAATTGGTTCGTCATTATAAACTACTTTTGCATAAGTATCTGCACGAATATCGAGGTCTACTATATGTTCGAATGGAAAATACTAGAAGTCTAACTTTTTTTACTCACAAATAGAGCGAAGTATGTACTTTGAAATGGATACTCAAAAGAAAATTTACGAAATAGTTTCAGGGTAGCCCCCTCTTTCCGGATCCAAAATTTTCAAATTTTTCATTTTTTGTTTTTTCTGCTCTACATGTGCTTTCAAGTATTCTCTATCTATTGGTAGCATTTTGAGAACTGAAATATAGCTCTGAAGCAAAAATAAAATCGAAAAGATAAATTGATTGCCGTAGGGTTATAGCACGATTTTTTCTTTCTTCCGTGGTTTTCTGGAAATCACGTTTTTCAGCAAAAATCTACAAAATCGCCCCAGTTTCTCAGGCACTGTAAATCCGATCGGGCTGAAATTTTTTCTACAGATAGTAGAGACACTTTAGAGTGGCTAATTTTTTTTGTTTTAAAAAAATATTGTACCACTGAGTTTTGGCAGGTTTTACGAGCCAAGCGTTATTCAAAAAAACATGCGTTTTTAGGGTGCTCTTCGTATTTGAGCTTTTTTATTCGAACTGTACGAGATAGAAAGAGGCCAAAAAAAGTAGCCACCCTAAAATGTCTCTACCATCTGTAGAAAAAATTTCAGCCCAATCGGATTTACTGTGTCTGAGAAACGAGGGCGATTTGGATGTGGGTGCTAGTCTTCTGCTGACACCCACCCCACCCTATTAAAACTATAGCTATTGATGCAAGTCCACCAATCCAGAGTTCACCTTCACCCTAAAATATATCATCAAGAATTATTCTAAAGAAAAATCAAACAAACAAGGGATCTTTGAAAAATATTCTTCATAATAGTCAATAACCAATTACGTTTCTCTGGTGGAAACCACCAATAGAGTGAAGCCATAACAAGAAGTAAAATAAGAAAGATAGCCAAAAGTATCAATGTCCAAAAAATTGGTGAAACTACTAGACAATGATCTGTTGAACCTAATGAAAACATATTATTTAGAAGAATATCTTCAAATACATCCATTTCAGGTGAACGAGGATATGCATATGCTTGTGATATAGAAGTAAGTAAAGTTGAATTCATTTCATATATAGCTCCCAATGGACAAAAGCTACTTGATGAACATGTAATACATGATATACTAGCAATGATACCTGGATTTCTTGATCCACTTGGACATAATATGCAAGGATGAATACCAGTATCTGATTTATAAGTACCTCCAATGCATTTAGTTGAATGACCAGAGTTGTAGTTTGTTTTTGTCCTACATCTACTGAATAAACATAATGTGTTGTGTCATCATAATCAATTGAACAAGGAATGTTTCTACATCACTGTATGCTTGGACAAAAAGAATATTGTTAGCAGCTATTTTAAGGCCATAACCATCAAAAGCACAAGCCACATTATTTTAATTTTAAACCAAAGGCGAAAACAAGTCGATCTGAACTTTTCTTCGAAGAAAATAGAATAACATTACTAAAAGTATTACTGATGCTTTTATTTCCTGTGTGAATGCAAATAACATCATTAGTTTGTCTTTGAAGCATGATCCTTCGCAACCTTTCTTAAAAAATTGAAAATTCATAATTTACATGTAAAACAGAATACACATTTCCGATATATATTTATCTATTTTACTCGACTGAAAACTTACAATTATTTTTATTAATTTATTTTCTTCAAAATAATTACATCGATAGAAGAATTTGTGTTCTTTTTATATTTATCCCCTTTTTCTCAAACCGATAACTTTCGGTAGACTAATGATGCAATTTAATAAAAAAAATTTGTGTATTAAACCAGGTATTTTGTAATTCATATAGGAAACAGCAGATTTCAAGACTAAAGTCTCAGCTGTTTTCTTCCTCGATCCTAATTTCTCAAAAAACTTGTGCAATAAATGGTTAATGTTTGAGACTTGATCAAATTATTTTTCTTCATTTATTCAATAAAATATGATTATAGAAAAGCGTAATATGTTTATTTCTCAAAACAATCAAATAATTGTCCCATTATATTAATTAATGTCAATGATACTTGTTTAGCTAAATCATCACCCCAAGTGATATCACCATTTGAAAGTAGAATAATTCCTAGACTTCGTTTTTCATTTGCCATCATTGTATGAGCAACTCCTGGCATCCATCCACGATGTCCTATTAAATGTCGATTATTTTCATATCGCCAATTCCAAATTAGACCATATTGAACATTAGGTTCGTCTATTGAACCTTCTTGTCGACTAACATGAAGTATTTCCTTAATTGATGATAAATTTTGAAGAAGATTAGGAGAAAAATTCTTAAGAAAAGATCAAAGATAAATTGATAAAGAACGAACTGACATACGAAGCATAGCTGATGGATAAACACTAATACTATAATGAGGTATATAAAGCCATTCACTTGAATTCAAAGCCTATAATATGACAATCTAATATTGATATCTTTCTTAAAATTAATCTTACTTGAACGACATTTAATTGTGGTGCTATTTGATGATAAATACTTAGTAATGATACATTATAAACATAATGTTCAACTAAATCTGTTTTTCTCATTACAAAAGTTGAGAATCGATAGCTTGCTTCAGTATTTGAAATACCCAATGGATCAAAAATTTTATATCGAACATAATTTTCAAATGTAAGATCAGATATTCTTTCAATAATAAGAGCACCCCAAGCAGCACCAACATTTGTATAATATGTTACATTACCTGGTGCTTCAGATAACCAACTTGCTTTATTTAATAAATATCTAAGAATAACATCTGTTAAATTTGTTTTTAAGAAATCATCTCCTGGCATTCCATGATGAAATTCTTCTTCATAATTTGATCCAAGACCAGATGAATGTGAAAGAATATGACGCATAGTTATAATTGAATATGGAAACAATGGATGTGATATTCTTATTGGAAATTTTAAATATTGATTAACATCAACATCAAGATTGAGTTGACCTTTTTCGACTAATTGCATAGTTGCAAGAGCAATGAATGTTTTTGGGAGAGAAGCTAAAACAAAAATTGATTTCGATGGATCAATTGGATATTGATTTGAAATAGGTGAATGATAACCAAAACCTTCTTCATAGAGAATATTACTTGAATTTACAACAATTGCTGCAAGACCAGGAATATGAACATTTCGTAATTGATTTTCGATTAATATTCGAGATGGAGGACATTGATAAGCTTTTATAGTCACTGAAAAAGCGAGTAACAAATAAAAAAACATGTTAATCGATGATTTATGTCTTTTATGTGCATATATATATTTATTTGAAAAGAGATTAACAATGATAAAATATCATTCGACGATAGTTTCTCTTAAATTGAATGAGTGAAAGATTTGAAAAAAAAAGATTCTATTTACAAAATTAGGCAAACATAGATTCGAAATAAATATTTCAAATTTATATTATATCATAGACTAGTAATCTGAACTTTGGTCGAAAGTAAAAATATTGAAGCATGAAGTGTAGATCGGCTTGTGCTTAAAGAGTAGAATAACACCGAGACTCACAAAGTCTCTCCGAGATATGAATTTTTCAAAATATAGGTGCTTTGCCATGGTCACTGCAAAAACATAAATATTTTGAAAGATTTATATCTCAAAAAGATTTTGTCAAAGTATTACGAATTTTTTTTACAAGCTAATCTAATTGAAACCTTTATGTGGGCAAAGTTTCAGGTCAAAATTTAAAATTACGATTTTACTGGAAAACTGAAACTTTGCAGAAAAAATTTATTAAAAATTCGATATCTCAGCAACAAAGATCCAACAACTCGAACTACTCTAGAGTATTTACCTACTGACTAGGCTCTATCGATTGAATATAGCCTCAGCTTCAAAGCGATTCATCACTTAGAGATCTTCCTTCGTTAGTAACAAAGCAAACAAAAAACACCCTAGGAAGAACCCATAGACTATTTGCTCAATCTGTATTCCTAGTTTATTTTGTGAGCGCAACTACTATTAAGTAACATAGTTGAATACAGAACTCATTAAAAAATGGCAAGAGCTAAAAACTTGTTATGTCATGAATATTTTGCATCTTGCATGATAGAATAAATCCTTGTACAGCTGTAATGTATACTTGTAGACTTACGCCATCTGTTTGCAAAGCAAATTTTGAGGTGCCTTCATAACATTCAATATGAAAGAAAAATTGGAGAATTTTGCAAAAATATGCTTGATCGAATATTATTATGGGTTCAAGTCCTACCAAAATGACTCCTGTTTGTACAAATGAACTCGTGCAACAACCAGTATCAGTCTATGTACCTTTAGAATCGCTCACTGAACCAGTTGTCCGTTCTATAATTTCAGTTATAACTTCATCTTATGAACTAAATATGAATTGTAGCCAACGTACTCTTCTTATGTTCTTACTTGCAATCGATGAAAAATTGCAACAAATTGAAAATAAAACAGATACAGCTGAACAAATATCCGATGAAAGTATTATTCAGCATGCAAAAAACGTTCGTCAATGGCTCGTATACAATAATAAAGAGCCATTAAACTGGGACGAACTTCGTAAAATATATAATAAAATGACCAAACAAGAATACAATTCTTTGGCGAATTATTTCGGAGTCAAAGATGCAGTTCCTTACTTTGAATTAACAATGAGAACTGTGAGTTGTTCATAATTCTATTGCATATGTATATTTAAAGTTTCTGTTTTTTTGCTGAAAAAAACAACAGAAAATAGTCTTTTGATTATAGTTAGACAATAGTTTTCGGGATTTATTACGTGTTCAGTATTAACTTTTAGCAAAATATATTTCAAAATTTGTTTCGGATTAAAGATTTAAACATTGTTAGGTCGCCTTTTAACGAGAAATTCTGATATTTTGAAAAACATTAAACAACAAAGAAAACACAAAGCTATCTCAAAAAAATGAATAGTAAACTTTAAGTTTATGGAATATTCTGACAACACTTTCGAGTTTCTCCAATAGTTATCGTAATCAAATCACTTTTCATGTTATCATGATAAACTCATCAATATCTACGTAATAGTATATGTCATACTAAAAACAAACAATAACACTCGATAAATTCATTGCTTTCATAAATAATAATTTACACTGGAATACCGTCATTTTATTAGAATTAGTACTCATACTATCCATAATAAAATCTTGACGAAAGCAAGAATCAAAAAGTCATCATGATACTGGCATCCCGATGCGGATCTCTTTATCAAATTTTTTTTTAAGTTTACCGTATTTATATATATAATGGGTTCGAATAGAGAAAATGGTTTCCAACAAGACTATAAGAAAATAGAAATTATTATTAGATTAACAAAGATGGGGACTCTAAAAAACCAAAACTCTAGTTTTTCAACACCTAGAATGAATGAATTTAATTTTGTCTACACCACATAGAACGATTGAGTAAGCCATTCTCTACAAAATGACACATCACCGAGTTCTCTCTGGTATACAATAATTTGATTGAAGGCCAACAAAATGGTTTTTCTATAGAAATTTTGAAAAAAAAACCGACTTGAGGAACTTTCGTAAGATTACTGCCTTCAACTAAAAAATGTAGCAGGGTACTGGAAGACGTCTCATTTTGTAGAGAATCGTTTGCTCTGTTGTTATATGTACTCTAAACAAAATTATTTGTAACTGTTCTAGATGTTAAAAAAGTAGCCTTTTGATCTTCAAGAGTCCTTGTCTTTGAAAATCTAACAATCATTTTTAATTTCCTTATATTGCTTGTTTTTAAAGCAATTTTCTTTATTCGAATCACTATTTGGATTCTACCTAGCACTTACAGTAGCGTAAACAAAATGAAAATAAACCTTGTTAAATAATTGTTATACCCTTTGTATGAACTACTTGCTTATTGCATTTTTGGAGGCTTAAGTAAAAGGATGGTGAAGCAATCTGTTCCAAAATATATAGAATAAAGCATTATTCTCTGTGATTAGCAATAGCAACTACATCATGTTTCACATTTTAGTCCCACAGGGATTGCACTAGCAGATTTTTTTCAAGAAATTAGATGAATAATTTTTTTTAAATTATCCTTTAGTTTTGTACGAATTCTATTTATTTAGCCATTTAATGATGTAAAACGATCTCGTGACTATATAAATAAGTTTCGCAAGGACGGTTTTAAGCCTGAAGAACTTAAACTCTATTGGAACGTAGAACAAATTGAAAATCTCTGTCCAAAACAAGGAGATCAGTCAAAAATAATACCGCCACATGATCCGTTAGATGCCGATGCTATTGAAAATCTTCGAAAGTTTCCTGTTTGCGATCGAAATCATCGTGTCAAGATTAACTACATTAACAAAGGGATTGAAAAAGCTGTTTTTGATATACCTAAAGATGCTCAAATCATTGTTCTAAATTTTGCGGTAAAATCTTTTACAGATAATTCTTATAAACACCATCTGAATTCTATAGAATGAACAATCACCAGGGGGCGGTTATTTACAACATGCCAGTAAGTAATATTTATCTTAAGTAAAATCAAAGAAAATTCATTATAATGTTCTTCATTTGCAAAATTTAATTGAAAAATATCCATAGAAATACAATTAATTATTTTATATAGGGGCACAAGAAGAAATTATTCTTTACAATTCAGATGGTTATCGAGCATTACTTGATCTCAAATATCAACGAATGAACGGTGGTTATGCTATACCCGAATTTGGATTAGCCTATGTTCGTAATATACGTTTCTTTGATGCAGAATCAGAGGAACGACATCGTTTAGCAGATATGTTGGTGTCGGCATGTTACTGTTTAAATGGATCTGAACTTTATGATAATCCGAGGACTCGTGAGGAGGTAATTACGACGATATGTTTTTTTTCTCAAATTCATTAGCATCTTCATCAATTTATTAACATTGATTAATAAACTAAAATGTAAAAATAAATTTTATTTTAGTTGAAAAAAAATAATTTGACTAAATTTCGTGCATTTATGGCAGCAGCTGTTGCAAATACAATAGGTGATGGTAGTAATACTTATCTTTTACTTGGACCTATTGGTACTGGTGCATTTGGAAATGATGTTGAAGATATAGCTGAATGTTTTCGTGAAGTACTCGAAATGCCAATGATGAATTCAACACGACCTATTCGTTATGCTTTTAGTAATATTTGGTTTGTTTCTATAGATGATTGGAAAAATGATATTTTCCAGAAAATCTTACCTAAAAGTGAATCTGATAATGCTGAAGAACTTTAATGTATTTTTTTTTGTATTGCATTTAAACATGAAACCAACGTGTCAAAATATTTACTCTACGCATGAAAGTTTTATGCTTTTTTAAAATTTTATTCGAGATATATCGAGCAATTTAATTATGAATGAAAATAAAAAATATATTGTTGTGTTTATTATTAGAAATGTGATATATATACATATATATCGTATTGAAATTGTTTTGATTAAGTTAAGCAGTAAATAGATGATTATTTGAATGACATCATCGAAACAAAAGACATATATTTGTGTATCAAAAGAATAAAAATATACGGACTCTCGCTCATAAACATTCCAATAAAAGTGACTTCATATGGATAATAGACAGATCTAGACATTTTGCTAAGTATGCAATTATCATCACTGTTCAAAAATACAATCAATATCCACACGATCAGCCAATTCACAGATTTTAGATATGCTGATTTCGTAGGTTCACGAAAAATTAAATTTATCTCGTTTTAGGGTGTGGGTGTGGATGTGGGCGTGGATCTTTACTTAACTCGAAACCACACCCACACTTACACCCACACCCACCCCACACCCACACCCACACCCACACCCACACCCACACCCTAGGTTCAGTTACCCTTAATGTCAAAAAGTGAAAATAATGTTTCATTCAACCTGGAAGGAAAGAATAATGTCAAAAATCTTCTCGACCCTAACTCCCGTTAAGATTCTGGATTGACACGTTCATCAAATAAGGTTCAATCCAAAATCAAGAGATTTGAAGTCAATGATACAAAAAGACTTGTGAGTTTCAATCTTGAAAGCATAGATAACTTCTTGAAAAAGAAATCACTTATAAACTGTCTACAATATCAACAAAAATGAACTGTTCGTATGGTATTCAGCTGTAGATATATTGAACCTGATTTTCAAAATATACATATTTGAGTTCAACCATATGTAATAGAATAAAAGAAGATTTATTATATGCACACATACACATTTAGTCATAAACAGTACTTAAATCTCTTCTGCAGCCATTATCTCATCATATTAATTGATTCTGTCAATTACTTGAGTATTTCATCTACTCAGACAGGCTCGATTCTTTTCTGAACACCATGAGTACTCTAGGTGATGGAGGTCACTGCGGATTATTTTATTTTATTTTTCTGATTATATTTTCTTCAAAACAAGATAAGTGTTAAACAAAGTCACATCATAGTCATCTGGTTTCTTTTTCACTTCTTGCTCGTAGAGGACCCAAAATTGAGCCAATACATTGTCAATATCTTCTTTCGACCGACCATTAGTTTCCAGAGCTTGGCGTAGCGCCGATTCGGTATAAGTTTGTGTGCCCCAAGTACGAGCTCGTGAAAACTCATCTAGAGACATTTCTCCATTGAGATATTGCTTGTAGTATGACATGTTTACTTCAACGAGACCTGATGCGATCAACGTCAATGAGCATTGATCAAATAATTGAAGGTCAACACATTCATTGAATGAACGATTGTACATTGGAATCGAAAAATCCAAGAGTTCCTTAGATGTTAGAAGTTTAAGCGATTGAGCACATTTGTAGAGAAGATTCATACTATTTTCACGTCCATTGAAACCTTGTTCGTTAACACCGAAATTTGTTAGAATAAATACACCCCCGACTTTAAGTTCACGAGCACGTTGTTTTATAAATTGAGTGTAATCCAGACGAGCTTGCTCTTGATATGCTATGAGTTCATTACCTTGAGCAAAACTAACTGAACAATGATTCGATATATTGCACGGTTTGCGAGAAAGCCAATGAATAGAATATGATGAATAACCGATTGATAAAGAATTTGGTGGAAGACATGATTCATAGAAAGATCGACCATTCGCTACACTATAGTATGAACTATCTGTGTTCAAGATTTCAAAGAGAGACTTCCAGTCATTGGTAGGTAAATCATTATGGACAACAAGTATTTGTTTTCCAGCATCGATCTTCTTAGATTCTTGCAAATATTCGATGATCTTCTTCATAGCGTACATTGAGTTCTGCCCATGGGCTGAGCCGAAATCAGCTATAATGAGAGGACCGGGTGCAGAAGAAACGTCGAGCACATTAATGGCTTCTCGAATGAAAGGAAGCGAAGACTCAACAGAAGCCATTTGAGCCCGACTATTTGTATTGTAGGAACCGACCATTCCAAAAGTTGCTCCCGAGTTAATGCTCATTTTTGTGAATGATACAATATTTCTTCTACAATGATCAGTGTTTTACAAAACGAAATATAATTAAGAGAAACAATTATTTAGTGTTGTTCGATTAAAAAACAAAACAAAGATAAGAACCACAAAGATAAATAATCATCATGCGAAGAGTAATAATAAATGGACGAAACCATAGACAAACCAAAACAAAAGGACAATTCTGCTTGATGTAAGTGATGTCGTTAGTAACTAGTCAGGCAAGAATCTTTAAAAATAATGTGTGAATTTTTTCTAGATGTATTAACATTAAAAGTTTGATTTAACGAACTTTTACACATTTTTGAGCAGGTATTCTTTACTATTTGTCCTTCTGAAGCAATTCAAGACATCTATATAAATTTATTTCTAAAACTAATTTAAGCGCAACATGTTTAGTTAATGCATATGGTTATCACGTTTTCTTGGAATCATTAAAATACTTAGTTTTTTTTAATTTTTACATGAATAAATAGCAAAAGTTGTGTAAGTTTATGTAACTAAGAAAAATACCAAATAATTCTAGAATATTATTTTAGTACATGAAAAGCGAGGGTTAACCACGGTTAACCGACGGTTTTCTTATCTATTTTTACGAAGTATAACTTAAGAAAAATACAAGGGGTAACCAACTAAAATACTGGTTTTTTTTGACCTTTTTGATTTAAAGCTGATGAAGAATAATAAAAATCAGTACTTTATTTCTTCGAAAAGAGTCAATAAAAAACATATTCATACTAGGAATGTCGTATTCCCACTACTGTTATCAGTTAGTGATAGGTGGTAAGTGATGAAGATTAACTTGCAAGAATTTATAGTTGATGCATAAGCGTACCGTTTATCGTTGCTAAATAGGTCGTTTTTTTATCATAAAAAACACCTATTGTTACCGTGGTACTCAGACGTGGTAGTAGCAGCAAGTGTAATAGTCCTAATCAATACAGTGAAGACTTATTCTTTATCGTAGAGAAGATTCATAAGACTGCTTTCGATATACGTACAGCTTTTACTGTTAACATATATAAATATTCAGTGCTTAAGCTAAAGAAGACGTAAGAATAAATAGATAAAATTAACCTGCCTATGTATCCATAAGATCAATTAGAGGTGTTGCAAATCCTGTGGATAAACATGAGGATGTGAGTTTTTGGTAAGCAAACTACCGAATCCGACATTTACCAAATCTCAGATATTGAGAGATTAGGTAATCATAGTACTATAATATATGAAGTGGAACACATGAAACTGATTATAATTTATAATTCATACAAAGATTTGATCGAATTTGGGAATTTTCTTATGGAAAATTTACAATCCTGATGTAGATACGCAAGAGTTGATGCATTCCTAAAGGAAGCTATATATGTCATGCGTACAGAGTAAAAGAGGGAAGTGGAGCGTGTACTTATTAAAAATCATAAGTTGATGATAGTTAACCATCGATTGACTGCGGTGGAACCCGATTAACTGATGGCTTTTAACCGATTCCAACGACATGGAGTTAGCAAAGCCATAATATAGTGGAAAAAACTGTTAGCGCAATCATTTTGGAATTATAATATCAAACACGATATACCTATTGATGCTAGTGCCTTAAAAACTTGTCTTTTTTTATGTATATTAGGCCATATTTCGTCATCATTCCTTATCTTACAGCATAAAATTTCATTATGGAAATACTGTCTATCAATTGTAATTAGACGTTACTTATACATAATTTCTAATAGCTTCTTGAAACCGTCTAACACCATCTATGATGGTTTGTAATGGACAATTCATTGATTAAATAGTAATTAATTAATTAAAATGTCTGTCGCGGTCTGTGAGAGAGGGGAGAGAATGGGTACAAATTTCTACTTTATATGCTTCAACACTTCTTTCAGATCGTGTTTCAGAAAATATTTATATGCATACAGCAATTACTAAATAAAAATATTGTATTGATTGAATAGAACTAATTGAATCATAAAAAATTTTCCTTCACTGTTATATGGATTTTCTATTTAACGAAATGTTTTTTATCATTAATCTGATAAGGTAATGATCATAATAACAGACAGTAGTGTAGAGATATATGAAATCCAGTAAAGGAGAATCAAAATTGACTCACATCGAGAAGTGAAAATTCATTGTACTCTTTGTTGACGATTGAACGATATCTGGCTATAACAGTTCCAGGTATAGGCATTGGTATTCATCAACGTTAACAAACATCCTCAAGAGATTCTTAATCAAGACGAGAGCACAAGTCATGACAACTTGCCTCATTGACATCGTGGTTTCCAGATTATATGCAAAAGAACAGAATGAATCATGAAGAATATTCAACATTTTTACTTTTGTGTAGATAATTATGTCTTGGAATTTTTTTATATATAATTTTGAAGAGAACAAAAATTCTGGTAATGTTTAAGATAAAATAAAATTATTCTTTCACAGTGAAGATGACAGTTACTATTCAACAATCTTTATTTTTGTTTATCTGTCATCTGATCGTGATGTTGAACTGTAGTTGTATATTGCTTCTGACACGAAAACTTATACGATTTGGGAATAATCTTTTTCGTATCTTTTACAATGAACCTTTAATGTCATACAATCGAAATAGAATAACTTAGTTTATCTGATTCTATCATATTGTCGATGAAGCCATTCAGACTATGTTGATGTATTTGATAAATAGTCGGATGTAGTTTAATGGACCCCGCACAATAAAACCAAACATAGTGAAAACATGGGGATCAACAGATTTCGAGTCTAATCCCATAAGTGATTAGACCTCGGTATACCATTAATAATCAAAAGTTTTACGGTCTAAAGATTTACTACTGGCTAGATAGGGTGAACCGACCTGAGGCACATTCCTGTATATACAAATAAACGCAAAAAAACTGGAAATTTTTCCTGTTGTCTCTTGAGAATTTTTTTTCTTAAAATTTTTCACTGTTTAAATCAAATCATATGTCAATCGATAGAACTTGCTTTGTTCTATAAAACTGTATATACGAAATTTCTATTGATCCTTCAAATACCATCGAAAAAGCTTAAATATAGTGTATGTTCATCATACAAAATTTTTTGTACTTTTAAGTATATCGATAAAATATCCTCGTCAGAAACCGATTGCCAAAAAATATTTTATATGAATTGCTAGCCTATTCAATTCTACATCGTACACAAGAAAAACCAAATGAATATCACGTAAAAAAAAATGTTTTTTCTACACGTATATGACTTCTTTTTAGTCGTTTTCTTACCATTTAGATTCAAGTTGCGAAACGTCTCTCCAGTGTTAAACGTGAATTAGAAAAATCAAAACGACAATTATTAGAATTAAAACAACGAACTTTCTATGATAAACCACTTGCTTCATTGAATTCTACTCAACTATCAAATTCGACAATAAGGTGTCGGTGTGAGTGTGGGATGTGGTCTTGAGTCGTCGCTTGACCTATATCCACATCCTGCTAGAAATAAATGTTTATATAGTAGAATTTTTACTTATCAATAAAGTCCAGTTTCATTTATTCTTCACATTGAAAAAGAGATTCTATATTTTTCGATAGATTGAATTCAAAATATTACTAAATCAGCTATCTACTTTTGTTTTTTGTTAGGCTACATATTGAATTACACATAGATCCTTGGATAAAATAGCTTATCATAGAAGTTTCAAATCGTTTCCTTATTCATATCTTGAGATAGAGCAATAGTAAAATTCATATAAACTCGTAAATTCAATGTTCTTATAGCAGTTAAAGGAGTAAATCAATTTCGAAAGCAGTTTTTTTTCAGTGTTCCTAAAGGAGATCATGATTTTGATTTAAAAAATATCAGTATCTCGTCAACAATAAGATAATAGTACGAACTTTTTTCAAGGTATTCATAACTGATTATGATGCATATTGTCTTGATTTAAAAGTGATATATTAGTCGGGTGAAATTTCTGGTTCGTAACAACGGTAATTAGTTAGATTCGAACTGATAATCCTAGTTCGAAGTTCATCCATCTTAAATAAATATCGAACTTATGGCTATTTAATGACCCAAGTCGAGGCGAATGGAGGAAAAACCCGTTTAGAACGAGCGAATATTTGGAGGAAAAAACCACGAATGCACTGTATACCACTAGATGAACATGTTCCAAGCTAATCATTCAGAACGCATTTAGATTAAGTAGCTCGGAATACGTTCGTGGCTTTTTTCGCAAATTCTTTCCGAATATTCGCTCGTTCTAAACACATTTTTTGCTCCATTCGTCTCGATCTGAGGACTGAATATTGATTACATGATCAATAATCTAAGTAATATGATGAGAATTGTAAGACGCTTCTATGCAAGCTACTAAAACTTCTTCTATCGATAAAAAAAAAAGAACGCAATAAAGGAAAATATTTAAAAATCAACAATATTTTCAATAGAATATTCTATGGTTTCAATTGAAAAACAAAAATATAATGTACTTTTCAACATATTACACGACTAAAAGTACGAGGTTAACAATGCAATTGAATTTCTTTTTTTTTTATATCATTGTTGACATTCTTATAATCAAACATGAATTCTATCGAATATTTTTTGTTATTGTATGAATGTTGAGTTTTTTATTATTTCAAAAAAGAAAAGTCAATGATATATATATATATGCTAGACATATTTCTTATGAATATTTTTAAAGAAATATGAAGATCTACAATCTATGAAAATAAAAATAAATTGCGTAGTATATTAACTTCAATGACTAGATTGAAAAAAAACACATTAATTCTCATATTCATAATAAAAAAATCTCTCGTGAAAGTAACTTCATTCGATTCATTTGATCAATCTGTAAGTTGGACATAGAATATTTTGAAAAGTGAATTTATTTCGATAATATTCAAAATAGTTTATATTTAATTCATAATAATGAGAACATCAAATGAAGTAGTGCCAGTATCACAAGGCTTTTCTCCAATTCGTTCTCAATATAGTCTTGTTGATGAACGACAAGTTCAACCAATTCAACAAAGAACATATCAAGCATGGATGACAGACACTTCTCAAGAACCTTTTATTTCGACTTCAACTATCATGTTAGATTTATCTTTATTCTTTTATAGATAATAAATAGAATTCTTTTTTGTACTTCTTTTAGTGAAACTAAATCTGGTTCATTTAAAAAATATGTGACAACAAAATGTATAATGTCACTTCTTATTGGCTTCATTATTTGTGGTATTCCATTGGCTGTTATGTCGGCTTTATATGCACAGAAAAGTAAATTTCATTTCATGTATTATTATTATGACAATTATTTTTATGATTAAATTTAGAGACATCATCTAGTAGCAGTTCCGGTAGAACCAATCAATTAAAATTCTATTTCTGTTTAAGAATTAGATAAATTTTCTCTTTAGATTCTTCAAGTAGTTCTGTAAGTCTTCCATCACAATGCACATCATATATTTCTAATTCGGATTCAACACGTCTTACAACTTATACAAGTTGTATTAATTGTTTCTCTGATACTAGTGGAACTTTTACAGCAGGTTGGTACAGATTTATGAATACAGGAACTCGATTAGCTACAACACCTCCTAGTTATGGATCATGTGGTGTTTCATATCCAGCTTGGTACAATGGTACTTTTCCATCAACTGCAGGTTCAAGTGTAACAGGTACTGTTTGTGTACAATGGAGTGGAAATTTATGCCATTCTTCATATATTACAACAATTTCTGTTACAAATTGCAACGGTTATTATGTTTTTTATTTAATTCCAATGACTACTACCGGTATACGATACTGTACAACATCTTAATTCGATTATATTTACACCATAAAAAAAAACAATTAACTTTCTTCATTTGAATTCTTTTTTTTCCAGTTTGATTTATTTTGCTTTATTTTATTCAAATAAATAAATAAATATAGATCTTATTAAAATAATATTTTCTTCAATTCAATTCGTCTAGATTTTTAATCAACAAAGAATAATATTCAATGATTACATTCAAACAAACTTTTGATTTTCTATCAGAATGACAAAAAAAAAATAATATGAGCAAAACTTAGAAACTAAGAAAAACAACACAACTTATAAAAACGATCAATGGATTTTTTCATACTTGAAACAGAAATAAACATGAGAAAATTCAATAAAATATATTTTGACTTGAATGAATACTTATAGTGAACATTGAACTAAATATATTGATATTATCATAGAAAAATAAGTATTTACATTTGAAATATTCATTCATCCTTTTTTAAAGATAAATTTATTGAAATCAAAGATTAATATATAAATCAATATGTATTAATTCTTTTCTTATAGAATACTTCTTTCATAATTTCAAATCATATACTAGTCAAACTTAAATAATAACAAGAAATCTCTTCTCCAGAAAAAAAATCCTCTTTATAATGTACTTACATTCGACATGATTGGAAAGAACGCTTTTTTTTGTCATCCATACATTTCTAGATCTATTGAATTTTGAATTATTATTTTAAAGAAAATTAAAAATCAACAATGACTTATAAAAAGAAGTCTAAACATATAAATTTCGATGTATCGATTCAAAGTAACAGATAGAATATAAACATAATTTTTCATATCCATAATCCAACAATCGAAAATTTTCATAATAACATATTTCATTGTGAATTAAAAAAAAAGAATGATTGATGATTACAATACAGGACGTCGAATAACTTCTTGGGATACAAGTGATCCTCCAAAATCCTTGGATTCATCACAATTAATGAGAAATGCTCCTTCATTGTCCATGTCACAACATAATTCTCTCGTACCATATTCATAATATAATGCTCAAGTTCGTTCACAAAACAGTATTGATCAACGGCAAATGCAACAAATACAATATCAAACAAAATTATCGAGATCATCAAAGCCAAATTCAACAGACATCGAAACAGGGTAAAAGAAAGAAACATTTATTATATGAATAAATAATTGATGTGTTTTATTTCAAATTAGTTCAAAATTCAGCATAAAATCGATTAGCATAAATCATATTCTTGGTTTTATTCTGGGTCTTATAATCACTGCAGTTCCCTTGGGTGTTATTGTTACTTTTTATGCATTATCATGTAAGTTTCTTAACATATTTTTAATTTTATCTTATGAATTTTTTTTTACACTTTTTTAAAATGAATTTACCAATAGCATCCGATAGTGCAACAACCAGTGCATCTAGTAATAACTTTTTGTTTTATTTTCTCTAAGCATAAAATTTTATTGTTTCTAGCAACAATCTCAACATCGATCAGTTTGCCTTCTCAATGTACTAGTTACAACACATTAACTGATATATCGCGTCTTTCAACTTATACTAGTGGCTGCTGTCCTTGTGACTCTAGTGTATCTACTGGTTGGACTCGAATAACTGGATCAGCAGGAACCTAATTGATTACATATCCTGTTAGTACAAGTTATTGTAGTACAAATACTCCGGGTTGGTGGAATGGTACTCATCCATCAACTATTGGTGCAACAACATCCGGTACCCTATGTGTTAGTTATAGTGGATATTTATGTAATCCATCATATTCAATTAGTCCGATTCTTGCAACCAATTGCAGTGGATATTATGTCTATTACTTACAAACACTGAGCTGTTATTGTTGTTGGATTTATCCACGATATTGTACCATATAAAACTCGTCTAATTCAGATGAACTTTAACAAATTGACAGTTTTTTTTCCTTTAATATTTTCCTACCTTATATAGCATTTTTCTTATATATTCTATTAATAAAAACGAATACTCACTTCATGAAAAAATTTGTCATTCTTGTTGAAAAAGTAAGAATGTACGTTATAATGAGACCAAAAGTAGCGAGGGATTTTTGTCTCTCTAGGGTGTGGGTGTGGAGTATCAGAGAAATAACAAACACATCTACCCCACACCTCAGCCACACCCACACCCTTGAGACCGAGACTGAAGATTCACGAACAAAGATAAAAAATTTTCTCTATCAAGAACTCTCGAGGCTCTACGAGATTTTGATTAATAATTTCTCATCATGGCCTCAACTAGCTATATCTACAAACGGACAGATTGGTCACGAAAAGAAAAGACCAAGTCTTGATCAAGATTTTCATTTTTTCAATTTTTCGACCGAGACTGATCGAGACTTGGCCTTTTCTTTTCATGGCCAATCTGTCCGATCGTATACGTAGTTATCTGAGACCAAGATGAGCAATTCTCATCTTTGTTAGTGAATCTTCAGTCTCAGTAGATCCCTAGTGTACGTATATTAAATATCAATTTGTCAACATGATTTATTAAATAAACGATATGTTTTCAAGTATTAAATTATTTTTTTCTCATACAATCAAAACTCCTGTCTTTCATCAAGTAACCGAACTTGAACTACAGCTGGGGAGGTATGTTCAGATTTCCGAAAAAGGAATTTACAGAAATTTCCGAAGCTTCCATCAACTCGATAACTACATAGCAAAGCAAATGAACATATTTTAGAAATATTGGAAAGTTTAGAAATTTTAGAATTTTCTGTAATTTCGGAAATTTCGCTACGTATAGAATTTAGGAAATTTCAGAAATTTCGGAAATTATATAATTTTGGAAAGTACCAAACAATTTAGAACACAAGTGCTTGAAATTTCCAAAACTTCCGAAATTTCCTTTTTCGGAAGTCTGAACACTGCTGCAGCTGGGTGGTCAATGGCCGACTGATTCGCTTAAATTTCTTTCGACAGTAGTTGATCTTTCTCATCTCGTCAAAATTTCTTTGAATATTTGATTTGATAAGGATTTTGCTCAGTGCATGATCAATAATCTAAACAGTTTATTCGAACAAGCACTTCATGTTCATACACTTCATAATCATAATCGTACTGCAAGTACAAAAATAATTTGTTCGATAGTACTTTATTATATCAAGCATTTACCAACGAAAATTATCAAATGGCTAAAACAGAGACGAACGATCTTTACGTTTTGGTGCAATTCATTCTGTATATATTTATGGGTTGACAATAATATATCGAGATTAAAAGACATGTGGGAACAGACTAAATTAAAATAGTTGCTCTTATGATGTTTTTTTAAATGTTGACGTTTCATTCTTTATTGTAACTACATATACATTTATCTTTTCCTTTCTAAATCTTATCAAGTGTTTATTTACGTTAGAATATTATTGTGTAACAATAAATGAAAGGATTAGAATAGAGAGGGATATAGATATAGTTGAGATCAAATTGAAAAAGAGAAAAATAACGAAAGTGATGTATAACGTCGGAGTGTGCTTTGTCTTTATGAAGAAAATAACAAATTCTAGAATTAAAATATATTTAATTGGATCAAGAGAACTTTCAATATTTGTTATTTCACCAAATATATGAGCAAAGAGCGAGATGTATTATAATAACATACTAACGAATATTAAATCATATCCAAAAGAATTATTACAGTACTAAAGATAAACAACATAAATGTATTCAAATTTGAATCAAATTTTGTAGCAAAAGATGAAATTAAAATAATTTTTTCTCCCAATATCTTGTAAAGACCCACGAAAACATTCTAGTCATCATATGTAATACTGGATGTTTCATCACATCTAATTCGGTAAACCATGGGCACAATGGTTTTAGAAATGTAGTTGGAAAAAATATTCCAAATAAACTACAACCAAGATTCAGTTCAATTGCTTCTCCATAATGTACAAATAATAAGAAGAGGAACGAATATCGAGCTGAGAAAGTCATTATCTAAAACATAAAAAAGCATTCAAAAAAAAATATATCCGTGAAAAAAAGCCATCATCTTGCCGACAGTAGTAAGTGAATCTCCGCAATATAGTCCAACTTCACAAAAATGCTATTTTTCTACAAATTTTCTCCACCAAAATGGAACAAAATCGATCGCATAGAGAAGATGAAATGGATACATGATTGTAGAAATACAAGGCCTGTTTTGTTGACAATTTTTTTTTATGCTGCAAATGTGAGCGGAGCAAAACAGACACGTAAATACTGTTTGTTTTTTATAATTGAGAAATGGAAAAATCTTCAATGTAACATACACATGCGTTATCACATTCACTATGTTGGCTTTCAGTGCATTACGTCGATGTATAGATACTCAAAGCTTTGAAACATGTTTAATTTTTAGCCAATCATAATAAACTGGGAAAAGAGAAAACGGAGAGAAGAAGGATGCTTTTATTGTGCTTGAAATTTTTCTTCGCCATTCATTATGAATAGAAGCATGAATATATTGAATGATACAGAATCTGACTGAAATAATGTATGCTCAAGATGAATAATATTGTCTTCGATGCGAATAATAGAGACCTGCCCTTGGTCGTTATTGCATTTAAGTCTTTTTCTGTGATTCAAGAATTTGGTCGTATTGCATCGAAATGTTGTAAGCGAATATTTGTCATCGCGGATAAAATGACTGTCAGATTATTCATTATTTCGAAGAAAGAAAAAAGTCTGAAAGCAGCACAACGGAAGGAAAGAATGAGCAAAAAATACAGCAGCAAAAGAAAGAGAAGAGCATGAAGGCCAAACTTCGTATCAGTCTGTTGCGATGAGATCACATATTGTAATTGCATTTGTTCTTCCGACAGATTCCTTTGAAAGGCTTAAATTAATCTGTGGGTTTTTTCCAGCAAGCAGAAATTCCAAATTTCCTATAAAAAGAAAGATGGAATAGATTCGATATATCTTCTACCAATTTTGTGTACAAATCAGTATGGGTATTCCGTTCGTTACGACGTTCATCTATGAATATCTCGTTCCATTGAATGATCATCTTGAACGAGTCAATCTAACAAAAAAACATGTTATCATTGATGCTAATTCAATTATCTATTTCATCTATGACCAAATGGTAGCAGAAGACAAAGAAAAACCCATCGGACAACGTTCCACTGGCACTCCATTTAGTTATGATAACTGTTGGAAGAGACTTCGAGAGATCTTTCGTCAATTTCAAGAACAATCATCGAACGTGATCGTTGTCTTTGATGGAATTTTCAAAAAAAATCCTTACCTAAGGCCTGATCCTGAAAGAACGAATAGTTGGTGTTTTGCTAACCTCAATGATGATCGAAATCGACTTCCTTTTCTTCTTCGGTATGAATTTATGAACATTTTACGTGATATTGGAATCGAAATAATTGTCGCAGAAGGTGAAGCAGATCCGACTATTGCCAGAATGGCTGAAGAACACGACGCCTATATTGTTGCTGGCGATTGTGACTATCATTTCTATCAACTTCGTCGAGGCTACGCTCCACTACGCTTTCTCGATTTGCAAACATTTACTGGACCAATCTATCGAATGAGTGATATTTTTAAACGCATGAATAACAGAAGTGTGGCTCTATGGGCGACTCTCATTGGATATATTTTTGTCAGTTTCGATATCTTTCAGGTATGTCATGTTGTTTGTAATGTTCAAATGCCAATGGAACAATTGTTGATTATAGGAGTTGTATTCGAAAATACCTGCCAATCATAAAAGACGCTTTCGACATTGGCTGGAAAGAGCGCAGGCAGATCCTGTGAAACAGCAATGGGTTATTAGCCAATGGACATTGCTCTATCAAATTCAAAAAGTGGGCGAACACGAAGTATATAATCAACTAATCAAACATGTTTCTTTGGAGCATCGTTCGGAATTCACAAACATAATGGAAAGCTACCTCAATCTCTCTCGACCAGTCATCATGTCACGAAATGGCTTTCTTCTTCCTCCTTTTCTTAAACATAATTTCACCAATGGAAAATTGGATCGTGCTGTTATTGATATTCTCGTTTCTCGAGAATTGCTTATTCACTATCAAGGCAGCAATCAGGCTCATCTCGATTTACTTCTTCCGCTCTGCTACATTCTCCTCAAATGGGACGAACAAAACCCAAAGACTGTCGATTCCTATCGGATGATTACGTACAAAGCGCAACAAATCTGTCCATTTGAACATATCAATGGAGATGATCTGCCTGTACTACTCGACATTCCTAACTTGCTTACAGATGATAAGAAGAAATTCGTTTTGCAATGTGTTCAAAACCTACTGCAGCCATCAAATCCCATCAACTGGGATGGAGTACACCAAGATTATGTTTTATGGCTTGGTATTCTAAAACTATGGTTTTACAAAAGAGAACATGAGATCATGTCGACGGATTCGATTTTCCTCGCATTGATTGTTTCGTTTCTCAAGCATGTTCTGCTTGATACGTACGATGAATCAGGTAAAAAGCAACATCTTATTAAATCGCTATCAAGAAGGAAGGATCGAAATATCAATTTGAGCTTGAATTCATATTCGAACTATCAGAGTCACTTTGCTGAAAAACTTTCCGTACCTTTTTCTATTTTAGAACGCTATCCACCGAGTGAAGAATTGCCTTCGGTTCCATTGCTTCAGCATTCTACGCAGCAACTGAAGAATTATTTTTCGTTGGAACGATGTTTCACATTACGAAATCTGATGAATGAATATTCAATGCATTACTTATTTGATGGACGTATTAAGATGGAATTGGAAGAAGTCAAACAATTCTATCAAGACTTGACCATAATCAAGCAATTCTTTTGCTGCACACTTCCAATACCATTACCACGCCAATGCGTCAGTCAACTCACTTATGGTTTAGCTGTTGCTTTCTCA